ATATATGTATATATATATATATATATATATATATATATATATATATATATATATATATATATATATATATATATATATATATATATATATATATATATATATATATATATATATATATATATATATATATATATATATATATATATATATATATATATATATATATATATATATATATATATATATATATATAAAATTTATAAAGCAATTTTTCACAGTATTTCCTATAATATTTCTTTCTTCTGGAAAAAGTTTTATTTGTTTTATTTCAGCTAGAATAAAAGCAGTTTTTAATTAAATAAAAAAAAAACACTATTTTAAGATTAATGTTATTAGCTCCCTTAAGCAACACTTGTTTTCCACTGTCTACAGAACAAACCAACGCTATAAAATGACTTGCCTAATTACTCTAACCTGCCTAATTAACCTAGTTAAGCCTTTAAAATGTCATTTTAAGCTGAACACTATTATCTTGAAAAATATCTAGTAAAATATTATGTACTGTCATCATGGCAAAGATAAAAGAAATCAGTAGGGATGCTTTGATCAGTATTTTTGCAGCCGATACGGAGTACCGATTCCTTGTCATGGTGATCGGCCGATATAGAGTACCGATTCTGATCCTTTAAGCTTTATAATGCATAAAGCACATTTACCTTCTAAGTATGACACTTAAAATAAAACTATAAAATAAAACTGTATCCTTACCCAAGAGAATAGATGAAGGATGCTGCAAATAATCCCTTAAAATTGTCTCTTATGACCATTTACTGTGAATATTCCATGAAGCCGCTAATAGATAAAACTGATTTTAAAAGTTGTAAGAAAAATGACTTACAATCCAATTTGAAAACCTTGCAAATGACTAAAGAAGAATTCAAAATGTCTCAATGAATAAAACGTTTGGAGTGCAAATTTGAAGTTAAAAGGCACGCCAACATATTCATTACTTCTTTACTAAAAAGGAAATAGGCCCTATAAACTACTGTTTATTGCAATAAGGATATTACAACAATTTATATGAATAAATACTGAAGTTTAAATTCAAGTTTTAACTTTCACTTTTTTTATGTAAAAAGCCCTAAATACAAGCACTAAAAATATATACTTGTAAACAAACAGATCGGCCAGATAAGGAGTGAGTCATGAAAAGGGATTATCAGCCAATAGCAATTGATTGGAGCATCCCTTGAAATCAGTTACACCCAGTGGTTGAACTAGGTATTGCACTGCTGGTTTTTAACATGCATATGCAGGTTGCCAGATTGATGAAACCAACAGCAGTGTGCCTGACTGTCAAGCCTAAAGGCTGATTTAAACAGTGTTGAAATTAAAAGCAACAGCACTCGATAGAAGGAATAGTAAATAAATTAAAAGTTGTCCTAACAAACTAGCATGTCCTAAACACGTAGTATGTTTCCTAAATTTCACCAAACATAGTGTTTTTAGGCTTTAGAAGAGTCAAAAACGTACATACAGCACCTTTAAAACTATTATGTTCAGAAAAGTGTTCAAAATATCCATCGTTTATACAGATATTAGGGGGAAACACATTTGACAGGAGGGCTAATGATTCTGACTTCAACTGTATGGCCGGTGCTACTGCTTGTGAATGAACCAATAGGTGATTATTACAAGTCTCATGCCTCAATGATGCATTTATAATGATCAGTTAATGGATTATCCATTCACAACTTCACTCCAGTAACAAACAATTGGTCTGCACGTTCACATGACCACATGCAATTTGGTTTATGTAAAATCAGGTTAAGGATGTACATGTACACACACTCATTATGCAACAGTCAGCTCACATCTTGAGGAAAACTCTTTAATACTTGTTTTGTGCGCCTGAGGTTGTTTCTCTAGCGCGTTTCACGCATAGCGCCAGAGATTGAGCTTTAATTTGCACTTCAAGAGTGATGCTCAGAAGCGACTGCCGCTCTCGAGGGAGCTGCACACCTTCTGTGATTCCTCATTAAATATGCAAAGACTAAAGTGAGCTAATTTTAGCGCGCAAACCGATGCGGTGGAGGAAAAAGTTTGATAACGGATTGCACAGATGACTTATCTTCAGCACTAGGACGTCTCAAATACAGACCTATAGGAGCAAAACTTTGAAAGAGGTGCTTTTTACATTAATAAATTTGCCAAATAATGATGGCAAAGATCTATTATGAATGAGAACAGGCTGTGAAATAGCTGACGGCATGCTGTTAAAGAGGATGACCAAAAGGGATAGTAGGAAAAAAAATTGATAGATGTTAATATAATAGTGGCAGCACGGTGGCTCAGTGGTTAGCACTATTGCCTCACAGCGCTGGCACTGGTTCGAGTGCCAGCTGGGTAAAGTCTAGATCAGATATGCGGCCGGCTGGGAATGCAATATTTACATCAATACAGCAGCATAACAATTATTCATATCTAAGGTGGGGGTAGGTGTTGAAAAACACAATTTATTAGGTCATTTAAAAGACAACATAAACAATACTCGAAACAACTACTGTTTTTATGTTACTGTGATGGTTGGGTTTAAGATGGGGGTAGACGTTAATTAAATACAACTAATGGGAAATTTAACAAATAATATAAATAATTCCCTTTAACTTCCGGCCGCAACCATATCCGAATCCAGCAACATTGTTCCAGCTGGGTCTGTTGGCATTTCTGTGTGGAGTTTGCATGTTTTCCCCGTGTTGCTGTGGGTTTCCTCCACAAGTCTAAAGACATGCGCTATAGGTAGTGGTGTAACGGATCACAAATCTCCCGGTTCGGATCACATTATGGTTTTTTTAGTCACATTAAACCGTTTATCAGAACAGCCAAAAAGAGGAGGAGACCAGTGTAATTTGCTTTCCATTTATTACCAAAACAGCACTGCAAGACACTTTTGGTTTTAAACAAACAGAACTTAGAAGATGTAATTTTATTAAAAATCAAATGAAGAAATAATCAGCTGAATAATAAAAAAAAGAAAAGAAAAAAAGAACAGTAAAAATATTCAGTACTGTGAAAAATTCACTGTTACCACAACTGTTGCTGATAACACTACATGTAGAATATTTATGTTTAGTCTCATTTTTAATAAATGCTTCAGTTATTCACTCATAAAACTTCATGTTTCATTGCTAAACCGTAAAAAAATCCTGGTTGCCTTAAATTAAGCTGATTCAAATTATCCATTAAACTTATATTATGTTAAACTGACTTAAAAGAACTTGTGTAACTTATAAAATTAAGTTAGAAAATGAAGAACTTGGTTTAATAAGTTACAATGACCTAAAAACACATGTTGTCAGGACTAATTGATCATCAATGTTTTACAGTGTAGATGTGTCGTTTTCGAAGAATAATTCAGTGGCATATTTTGACGGCTGGTTGTCGCCACCTGTTGGCTAAATAATGTAATTGCTGCCTACAATTCCCATTTTCGAGCGTCAAATAAAGTGTTAAATGAGTATGATTTCAATCTTTACCATAATCATCAGTGGCTTTATCTGAAGTATAAACTGTTCTCCAAGTGCTTCTGTGTTATTTAACTGTTTGTAACTTCATAACTCAAAAGACTAAAGACTGAATCTCTTGATTTTTGCGTTTTCAGATTTGAATGCAGTGAATTGAAGGATTAAAAACATCAGCAAATCGCCATCATTTATAATTTATGTTGCGTGGGTGTTGAGATCCTGACCTTTCAATGATTAATTGTGCAGCTTATACTGAATGTATTAATGCAGACTAAACAAGATGTGACAGAAAACACATTTAATAATCTAAGAAACCCACCTAATCGCAAATAACCCACCACAACTTCTTCCATCATATTTTACCGGAAAGCCTAAATGCTTTCATACATGTGATGTTAATGACGCGAGAGGCGATCTCTCTGTGAATATTACACATTTAGAATTAATCTACAAATTGAAAGATGATTAATCTGCGGGCCACATGTGTTCTGAACTGTGGATTGTGATCCATACGAATCTTTCAAATCTTTTTCAATGTAAACACGTGCTTGACGGACGCGTGTGTTCATTACACTTGTTTTTTAGACAGCATGTCAAGATCTTCAGCTTTCTCAGGAAGCACTGTCTATCACTGTTAGGTCTGAAAAGCAGTGGACCAATCAGAAGAGCTTGGAGGCGGGGCAACCGTTGTGAGCTTCTGTTTAGAGTACAAAGTAGGCATGAAAGCCCTTTTAATTTACTGTTACATCATGAACAGTAGGGCGGGACAATAGTGAGGAGAGGCGGGACATAGTGTAGCTCCTCCCCATTTGTTTCAGCACAGCTCTGCAAGTGAGAGTGGCTGAGCTCGAGTGCATCAAACGAGAAGTGTCTTAAAGGGGGCGGGGCATGTCAGATACTAGGGCGCATTTGATTGGTCAGGAGATGTAATGAGAAACTGAAGTATGAGGTGACGTGAATAAAACGGTTGATCCATTTAAGTGGAAGTGACAAACTACAGGCTTTACATGTTTATATCAGTTTTATATCTTCTAAACACGAATTGTGTCACTGTTTTGGTGCGCACTAGCTTGTAGATATCCTAAATACTTGCAATACTGATGCTAACATCTAACTTTATTCTAATTTCATGATACCTTTAAATATACTGTTAATAACAAACAACAAATTTAATTCAAGCATTTTCAAGGACCCGTGTTTGTTTTGAAGTACTTCCCAGGCCTTGAATACATGTGTGTGAAATTCAAGCACTTTAAAAGGAGTGTAATACGGTCACTAGTGTACCTGCTCTTCCAGCATCATGCGAACGGAGCGCTCTTTATCCAGCTGCTGTCGGAGCTCGATCATCTCTCTCCGCAGATCCTCCACCTTCTCCTCCTCCAGGATATCTGGAGAGCCGATGCCTTCGTCCTTCTCCTCCGCACGCCTCCTCTTCGGGGACGAGCCGCTGAACTCCTTCTGATGGCAGCAAGAGAAAAAAAAAAACATTAGAGGATATACAGAAAGAGACAATATCTAACATGAGCTGTAAAAAAAGATGAGCAAATCACAAATCTTTAGGTTGCATTGATCATATTAAAACATTAAGAGGATTTGCAGAAATGGATGATATCTAATATGAGAGCAGTAAAAAAGATGGATTTATCTGTTGTGTTGATATTGAAATACCTGTATGTAGCGTTTGAGTTGGGTGTTTTGTTGCAGCAGTCGCGTCTTCTCCTGCTCCAGAGAAAAGATGTATTCGGCCGTCTGCTGTAAGATGGCAGCCTGAGAGAGAGAGAGAGAGAGAGAGAGAGTGAGAAAGAAAGAGAGACGTATTACATCCATCTGAATGCGCTGACATAATCTGGGATCAGTGCGTTCTTATATATTTTTCTTCAGCAAATAGTTTAAAGGTGCTGTAAATCAGTTTTTGACTCTTCTAAAGCATAAAAATACCATCATATGTTTGCAGATATTTAAGAAACATGCTAAGTGAACATTGTTTAGTGAAAAACAATGCTAAAGTCAGATATTTTGCTTTGAAAATGTGCGTTACGTGCCAGAACGTCTGTCTTTGTTTTGGTCATTTAACCCGCCCACTAGGCTTGGGCGGTATTATGGTAATATGGTACACCGTGGGGTCTAAAAATAGCAACGGTGTCAGTTTCAATACCGTTATACAGTCCTAAACAATGCACTTAAATAGTAGACAAGTATTAAATAAGAAATAATATTTATGTAATGCCTACAAATCCATATGCGTGACTCATCACGGGACAGTGTGGAGGAAAGAGAGATAGAGAGAGAGAGAGAGAGAGAGGTGAGGTAAGATGGCGAGTCGTGCACCAAGTGACCTGCAGTTTTGCAGTATTTTCGATTTCGACGGAACGAGAAGGCACATGTGGCAAATACAAACTAGAGGTCTGCATTCCCGCTGCTGTCCCGCAGGAGCTGACCATATTTCTTGCGGTACGGAAATAAATTTCCGAATAAAGTGCTGGAGCGGTCGGTAACTCTGGTGTAATTTGAAAGGTTTGAATACTTATACGACAAGTGATCGGCGTCACCCACGGCGCAAGCCTTGCGCAGAGCCATGCATTTATACCTCTGAGCACTGTTTCTGTTGCTCTGCAATAACACTTCCGAAATGATAGCTGGCAGTGACGTGTTTATGTTCCTCTGTGTCGAATTTCTTCGCTGGTGTTTTGTTTTTTTCTGAACGCTTCCTTAGCATACAAGTGGTTTAAACACACTCATTTTGAAGCAGGAAACGGTGGACGTGCAACAACTTTAAACATGAGGTAAACACAAAACACAATCAATCACACAATAAACACAATCGCTCCATTGGGGTCGTGCTGCTCTCGGTCCAACCCACACTCGTCAGAGCAAACAAGTCGCCCAATCACAGAGCTTGCGCTACGCGTCGTTGTGACAAGTAGTTACTTTTTTTGAGAAGTGCGCATCAGTGATGCGGACGGCCACGGCAAGGGCTATGGGTCTACGTGTAGGCCGCGGCGTAGCATACGCGTGTGCTTGACGCAGAAGTATAAATCAGCCTTTAGTCAATTATATTGCAGCACTTTGTGGTAAACAGCATATTTGATTCATTAGGTCATAAAGGCGCTCAAGGTATGTGTCTGTGACCAAAATGCGACCTCCAGTGGACAGAAGCAGACTCCGAAATGAGACGCAAATTCAGAGTTCTACATGAGGTGGTTATTAATTAGCTTATAACATCAATATTATGAGCGTAACATTTGGTGAGCAGATTACAGTATGAACCCGTTTCCTGACAACATAATACGTGACGAGATTTGCACCAGACGAAACACAACAGAAATGTAAGTACTGCCATTCAGAAGCACAGAATAGCAATAAGTTGGGATGCAACGATAATAGATTTGGGTTGTACGACTATATTCTGAGGAATAATCACGATTATCGCAATTATTATGCATCCATTAATTTCAAAACACTACTAGTTTAGAAAAATCCCATGAAAACGCCCTATGTTTTTAAGTGTTATTTATTGCTGCTCATTAACCAAATAATACAGCACAAAATTAATAATAAAAAAAACAAACAATAGTCCGTTTCTTTGGACTTAAAAATAAATGAAAGCAAGACTTTGCCATTTAAACACAAGTGATAATTTTAGACTGAAAATGACTAACAATAAATAAATAAAAAGGACCTGTGTAATGTACATCTAAACCACATATTAGCTTAGCCTTCTTAAATGTTGTAATGTTCAACTGGGTGCACCTGGAAAGCACAAGCACGTCGTTCCCAATATGTGCACACAAGCTGCGCACCTCCATTGGAAATAACGAACTTGCGCGCACAAACACATGTGAATAGCCCTTAATTAATAGCCTCAGCCATAATTAATCTTACGTGTGTTGTGTGTATTAGCCTCAGTGTACAACTCGAAACTTTAAACAAGCGCACAGTTGGCATAAGTTTTGTTTAGTTGCAGCAGTTTTGTTCTGCACAAAAATGCGGGGTTGAGAAGCCCTTACGGTTAATTACCAATGTTAAATGAAAGCGGGGTTAATAGTGAAATCGGTAGATCGCTGCATCCCTAAGTGAATCATGCATTCAATCAATCGATTAATCAATCAAGCAGGAGCAAAGAACGGCTCTAAATGATTGGTTTATGCATCAGACTGAACCGATTTGACTCCACTTCATTCAAGCACATTCAATTTCAGCCCATTGGAATCACAACTTCACTTCTTTGCCCCGATCATGATTCAGTTTCCTGCAGTACCACCTTTTTCTTCGCAATTCTGAATTTGCCTAAATTTCTCAATGTGTCTTTAAAAGCCCAACAGATTCAAACCACATTCGTTTATAAGAGCTTCAGAATGATTGGTCAGCAAGCAACAGCATGTATTTTCTATAGTGTGAGCTGAAGATTTGGATCAAGTGTGTTTTCCTGCAGCCGTCTGGACTCACCTTGCTGAGTTTTTCTCCGTCACTGTGTGGGATGAGTGTTTTCAGGGACTGGAAGCCAGCGTTGATGCTCTGCATGCGACGGCGCTCGTTACTGTTGGCGATTTCCCTCCGAATGCGCCGCTCCTGGTCCCGCGCCGTCTCTGGCGTGAGGGGAATGTTTGCTAAGCTGCGAAAATGAAACACCGCTGCCAATCAGTGTGCATCAAATAGAAAATCATAATATCATTATTATATATTTGATTTAGAAGCGCCTCAAGGGACCCTTACAGTCATAAATTAAAAAAATAAATATACAAATTAAGAAAAATGTATGAAAATGGCACACTGTTGAAATTGTTAAAACTAGCAGTGGACAAGAATTAATCGTGATCAATCGCATCCATATATATGTGCGTGTACTGTGCAGAAACATAATAAATATATGTTATTTTAATTTGTCATTTTACTTAGGATCCCAATTTCTAATTTTCTCAGATGTTTTAACAATTACATCTGTCGCAGACAATATATCATGTTACCTGATCTATCTGTAATTATAGGAGAATCATGTTAGCTTTATTGTTAAGTTTACGTTTCAATTTGCCATTAATCCAAATAAAGTAAACACTAATTATTTTCCACAACATTAAATCATAACTTATTGGCATATTTTAGCATAGATGTTGTTAAATTGCAGAGAATTATAAGTAAAAAAAGCAGACACATCTTTTTCATTTCAATTTTTCGACACTTACAATTTTGATGGTAATGGCAGACCCAAGTATAACTGCAATAGTTTGTGATACACCCACAAACATCACTTCTTGTGAAATTCACCTTTTAAATACAAAAATGGGCTATTTTCGGAATAAACAATATTAAATAACAAGATTCCATACTAAACTTTTATAATTTGTGTTTGTGTAAAGGTACACCAATTCCAGCAAAGTGGAAAAATATGAAACAACCACAACTACAATACCTGGGCAAAATAATTATGAACACAAGCTTAATTATAGAGCAATTTCCACAGTTTTCCGCATTTTATGGCACTTTTATGAATGAAATTTGCTAAAATTCATTCAAGCAAAACAGGGCTTAATTTGTCCTGGAAAAACATCGGATCCAGATTCAGTACCTCTGAAATCTGATCCGGCACCTCATTGTACCGTTCCCCATCCACTATTCACTTTATTTTGCGGCTCACCAACCCTCTCCAACTTCTCCCGCGACACATATACATCCGCGGGTAATATGGCGGATCTGTTAGCCAGATCTGTTCTGGGACCTCGCAATTCACAAATGAAGCACTGGATCAGAATAACAGTGTCTTGTATTTAAAGATTGAAAAGTCGGCTAGAATTGAATGAATGTCCATGTTTGAAAAACTTTGTTCCCCATTAAGAGATAGTTTACCCAAAAATGAACTTACTCCCCATTTACTCTCCCTCATGTGTTTCCTTTAGATTTTTTGTTCCAAAAGAAAGAAATCTATTCTGAAGCACGGTAACTACTACCTTCCACAGGGACATTCAACATTCTTCAAAATATCTTCTTTCACACAAAATATAAATTCATTTACTCATCTTTCACTTGATCCAAACTTGAGTTTCTTCCTTCTGTTGAAGGCAAAAGGGCATATTTTGAAGAATGTTCCGGTAACCATTGACTTCCATACTATTAGTTTTTCCTACAATGGAAGTCAATAGTTACCGGTTTTCAACATTTTTCAAAATATCTTTTTTCACACAAAACTCATTTACTCATCCTTCACTTGTTGCAAACTGGTTTTGAGTTCTTTCCATCAGATAAATGCAAAAGAAGAATGTTCCCCAACTTCCACACTATACATTTTTCCTACAATGGAAGTCAATAGTTACAGATTTTTTTCATTCTTCAAAATATCTTCTCACACAAAATGCAAATTAATTTACTTATCCTTCACTTGTTCTTGTGTTTTGAGTTTCTTCCTTCTACTGAACGCAAAAGAAGATATTTTGAAGAACGTCTCGAACTTCCACACTATTCGTTTTTCCTACAATGGAAGTCAATAGTTACCGGTTTTCAACATTCTTCTAAATATCTTCTTTCACACAAAGTGCAAATTCATTTACTCGTCCCTCACTTGTTTCAAACTTCTTTTGAGTTCCTTTCTTTTGTTGAATTCAAAAGATAAAAGTTTGAAGAACGTTAAAAAACCGGTAACCATTAAATTACATACTATAAGTTTTTCCTACAATGGAAGTCAACAGTTACCGATTTTTGACATTTTTCAAAATATCTTCTTTCACACAAAATGCAAATTGATTCACCTATCCTTCACTTGTTCTTGTGTTTTGAGTTTCTTCCTTCTACTGAAAGCAAAAGAAGATATTTTGAAGAATGTTCCCCAACTTCCACACTATTAGTTTTTCCTACAATTGAAGTCAATAGTTACCGGTTTTCAACATTCTTCAAAATATCTTTTTACACAAAATGCAAATTCATTTGCTCGTCTTTCACTTGTTCCAAACTGGTTTTGAGTTCTTTTCCTCTGTTAAACGAAAAAGAAGATATTTTGAAGAATGCTCCCCAACTTCCACACTTTTAGTTTTTTATACAATTGAAGTCAATGGTTACCGGTTTTGCACATTCTACAAAAAACCCTCTTATTCATTCAACAGAACAAGGGAACTCAAAACAGGTATGGAACAAGTGAAGGATGAGTAAAGATGAATTTGCCTTTTTGCGTGAACCATCACGCTAACCCCTACAGCACGATGCATCCTTGAGAAAAAGAAACATACGAGTGTGAAACAAACACGTCGGCTTTCCTGAGCGCTCACTGAAGCCTATTGTCTGTAAATTGGAGGCTCTGGAAATCTGTGGCTCTCGCACGATCACAGGCGTGCTTTGGCCGAGGAAATCGAACCCTAATTGAACTTCCTCTCTGGTCTGGGCATCTCGCGGGGCATCTCTGGAAAGCCTCTCTTATCAGCAGCGCCTCAGCCGCGTCGGGACAAACACAGTGAACAATTGAGCAGCGAACACCAGCTTTCCCTGATCGCTTCCTTACGGCCAACAGCTCAAAACCCAGCAAACAGATCCAGTGCCAAAATCACAGCGAGAGCCAATAGTGGAAGCCAGAGATACGGCCAGATCAGACGCTTTTGCAGGCTTACACAGGAGCACGATGACCCAGCCTTTTTCATGCACAAAAATAAAAAGCTCACAATGTAAACTATGTGTATTTGAGGTGACAGGCTTTGGACTGGATTCATTTAAAGCACAGGTCTCAAACTCAATTCCTGGAGGGCCGCAGCTCTGCACAGTTTCGCTCCATCCCTATTTAAACACAGCTGATCTGACTGACGAAGGTGTTCATGACACTGTTGAACACCTTGACTATTTGGATCAGCTGTGTTTGATAGGGTTGGAGCAAACCTGCAGAGCTGCGGCCCTCCAGGAATTGTGTTTGAGACCTAAGATTTAAGATCTCGTGATATTAAAATACAACTTGTTTAGATGCTAGATTCAAGGATGCCCATAAGCACAGTTTGTCACTTCCACCTAAATGGATCAACGGTTTTATCCACATCGCCTCATACTTCAGTTTCTCATTAAATTTTCTGACCAATCAAATGCTCTTAAGTGTGACATGCCCCGCCTCCAAGACACTTCTCATTTGATGCTCTAGAACTCAACCACTCTCACTGGCAGAGCTGTGATGATAACAAAACGCTATAGGCTGTTTTTGTAAAAGGGGAGGAGCTACAAGATGTCCCACCTTCTCTCCATGTTTCAGTTGTGATTATGTCAAACATTGAATAAAAAAGCACATCATTCATAGCACTTTACAGGACCTTTAAAGCTGCCATTACAATAAACCAACACATGCATTAAATTATTTATTTCATCACTTTAAAAAATATTTGTTGTATTGAATAATTATTAAATAATAATTTATTATTATTAATATTATTGTACAATAAGCTTGTACCTTTCTTTCCATATATAATGTATAAATTAAATCCGATTGAGCTAGTATTTGATTTATTTGGGTATTTTAATGTGTATAAAATTGGCCAAACTATTTTTATTATTATATTGTATAAGTTATAAGCTTAAGTGCTGTTTGCTTGGCACTACTCATCTCATAATGTCATTCAGCTGTAATCTATTTAAAAGGGGGTATTGAACGACGTATATATGAATTTAAGCTTTTGCTTTGATTGATCAATTAATTACTAAAAACATTAAATGAAATAATATTAATTATTATTCATATTAATTTACATCACAGGCCTTTAATTCTGTTGCTAATTCAGTGTTAACAGACTATTTATAAATATTAAAACTAATAATGATATTTTAAAATAATTATTTGAGCATTATGGGAATTGTAGTTTTTTTTATATTCCCGGCCAGCATACAATTCATGCATTTAATTATATATTTTTTAAATTATGGAAAATAATAAATAATTATGCTTTTATTTTAAAATGATTAAACGGGCATTATGGGAATTGTTTTTTATTCCCGATCTCAGTTAGCATACAATTGATGCATTTTATTTTTATTGAAAATAATCAATAATAATGTTTTTTAAAATAATATTTTAAAACATTTAAATGGGCATTATGGGAACTGTATTTATTTTTATATTCCTAAACTCAGTTAGCATACAATTTCAAAATGGCATTTAATTGAAATTAATTGCAAATGCAATAATTAATGCAATTTATTATTATTTATTATCGAAAATAATTAATAATAATATTTTTAAAACAATAATATTTAAAAATGATTAATTGGGCATTATAGGAATAGTTAGTTTTTTTTATTCCCGACCTCAGTTGGCATACAAATGAAGCGTTTTATTATTATTATTATTAATTATTGTACGTTATTACTGTTTTCAAAATAATATTTTAACGATTAAATGAGTGTGCCTAATGATTTATTGTTATAGCAGCTTAAAATAAATCTAGTCCAAAGCTATAAAAATAACAAACAAATTTACTCTATATTCATGCATATATTTATATTAACAAAGATATTCACAGTACCCACAGATCTGTTTTATTAATCTTTTAAACAGCACTAAATCTACAAGGTTTAAATTTGTCAGTAGCAATGCATGCAATTGAATAACAAAATATTACTAATACTAATAATAGAAGTGACTGCTTATTTGACAACACAAGCTTGTAATTCTGTATGTAATTCAGTTAAGACAACTCAACGAAAATAATAAATAATATTAGCAAAAAGCACAACATTTCTAAAATATTCCACTCATATTAATTGCATTTTGATTACATTATAAACAAACTGCTATAAGCACAAGTTTTGGCTCAAAATTTTCACTATTTAATACCTACTTGAAAACAACCACAAAAGTCTTTCTACATGTTTACATCACTGACCACCAAAAATAAATAAAATTGTCGCTAGTTTATTATATACACATTACAACTACAGCAACATTTCTCAAAAAAAGTTCAAACATAGGCTAGTAAGTTTGTTTCAGACTAGTACATTTGCAAACTTAAGGCACTATTTTATATCTTAGGGTATTTCAATATACATTGATAAATTGCGTGTAAACAACAACCATCTGCTGTTCGTATAACTACAAGCATCATTTGTATGCCAACTGAGGTCGGGAATACAAAAGAACTACATTTCCCATAACGCCGTGCGCTAATCGGCTCACATGCCCCGCCCCCTTCTGAGAATGGATCGCAGACGCATTGACGGGGCCTTCCTTCACCAGCATACACACCCCCTTATTAAAATAACACCAGTTATTAATTTACTAACCTCTAAAAACATAAATCCCCACTCACGCTGCGCCGAAATGGACACGTGAAGCGAGTTAACGAAGCACCTCGCCGGCCTAAATTAAAAAACATCGTGTTCACAGATGATTCGGTCCGCCATTACAACAATGCGCGCTTCCTCCGTCCATGCGGCAGCAGCGACGCAGTCCAAAACCCATCTGAACCCCGTCCCGCCGCAAGCACCAATGCGTTAATCGCTCTTATCGCCCATTTTCACTCAGAAATCCTCGCGCGCGGGGACTTTTAATGCATTATCGCACTGGGGAGAAACACACGACGCCAAATGCACGAGCCACAAGCATGGCCGCGCACTGCCCACAATAACTTAAGCCCCCCAGAACACACTCCAACTAAAACGCAAACGCGCTCCTAGTCTATAAACAAGCACACACGACCACCAATTCACCAGCAAAATCAAAACAGGCCGCGTTTTTTAATATTAATCGCGCGCGCGAGGTGAGCAGCGTGCCGTGTGTGTGTGCGCGCAACCACGTGGTTTGTGTTTGTTAGACACAAAATGCATCGATTTCGCGGAGATATTTCATCGCTAACAGTGACCTGACAGCCTGGTGGGCTTTTATACACCCCTAAGAGGTGAATGGGAGTTAGAAAATCGAGTCTCGCGTGGGTTAGGCGCTGTGTTGAAGCATTGGAGAGGCGCATGTACACAATAACACAGAAATCGTGCACGCATGTTACTCTAGTAGTAGTGCTGTTGCTGCTGCTGTTGGCGCGCGATTAAAGACAAATCGCACACATGTGAACGTCAAGGCAATGTTTTTGGGGTTTTTACGTACCTGCACAAGCCCCCTATGACTTCTTTCTCGGTTTTCCTGAAATGTTGCAAGGAGGGCACCTTCTGAGCTGGTACCATGAAATACTCCATGCTTCCCCTCTTCTCTCCAGCTCTGGCTCTCCTCTGTGGCTTCTTTTCTTCTTCTACTTTTGTTGTTGATTCAGAAACAGACGCGTTACTTTGGGTCTCGTTCTCATGTACGGAGCGGAGGCGCGCGCGTCCTGCTGATTTTGGGCATGAGCGCGTGAGATGAGTGTTGAGTTGTAAGGTTACTCTATTCTTCCAGCTGATGGGGTTCCCTCGTAGTGTGTGTGTATGTGTGTGGCGCTCGCTCGCTCTCTTTCCCTCCCTCCTTCTGCCTCTGTGTGTGTGTGTGTGTGTGTGTTTGCAGCTGATCGGATGTCTTTCAAGGCGGGAAACAGCTGGTAGGAATCACACACACACACACACACACACACACGGCTCTGCACAACCAAAAAGCCTCCTTCCGCCGAGCAGGAGGACTTGCATGTAAACAAAGGAGAATTGCAACAGCAGTATTTAAACATCGTCCATTTTTGTTCTCCTAAAAAAACCTCTTGAACTGTTACATGCGTATTGCGTGTTGTAATTTAAATGTATTTAAATAGACGCGCCTTGGGCGTATTGTCTGTTGTGCATATACAGAATGCATTGATTGGTTATGGAAATACGTAATATGATTTATAATTGATATAAATATATATTTGAAATATGTATAGAAATGTATTTATATATTTCATGTGTGTGTGTATATATATGTATGTATGAATGTATATAT